TATTCTATTTTTACTTATTTATCTGGTATAGGGTTTTGCTACATAGCTCAGACTCATAGTGATCCCTCTGTCTCAGTGTTCCCAGTGCTGGGATTACGGGGGGTGCGCCATCACGTTAGGTTTCAGTGGCTGGCTTGGTGAGGGGCCAGCACAGCATGTGGTACCTGGGATCGAACTGGGGTCCTTGCACTTGTCAGGCAGTTGCTTAGACTGCCGAGCTATCTCCTGGGGCCCTAAAAAATATTTTGAGACAGACTTTTGCTGTGAGTCAGGATGGCCTCAAACTCATGGTGATTCTCCTGCCTCAGCCTCCTGAGTTCTGGGATTATAGGAAAGCACTACTACACCACCTGGCACTGAAGGACAATATCTATGAAGAGGGTAAGAGGAAAATTACAATTATTTTTGTAATTACTTGCTTAATGCTTGTATTCTTATCCATCTGTCCCATGAAGATAGGGATCAGAACAGAGACTAGAATACAGCTGGCACCTAAGTCAAACTGTTCGCAATAGTATATTAACTGGGTTTAATACCATTATTTTTGGGGCCAGGGAGATGGCTCAGTGGAATAAGTGCTTGCCTGGCAAGTGCAGGGACCTGAGTTCAATCCCCAGTTCTGCCAACCCCCCCCACATTATTTTTTATTTATATCTGCTGCATGAATTATTCTTACAAACTCATTTATAAAATGTTTAACATTCAAGCAAACAACCCAAAAGTTAGACATAACTGAGTGCCTATTTTAGTTGATGGCCAGTATACCTAATGTTCCCATATATGGGGACAATATTAATGTAATGCCTGTAATCCCAGAACCTGGGAGACTGAAGCAGGAGGACTGGCAGAAGTTTGAGACTAGCCTGGGCTACATAGTGACTTCAAGGCCAGGCTCGACTACATAGTGAGACCCTGATTCAAAAAACAAAAAAATAAAAAAGTGAAGGTTTTAAAAACTTCCAGTGTCCCCAATAAAGCACAGAAACAACACATACCCTAAACCTTTATTCTCCCAATGATTTTGGAGGCTTTGTCAAAATGGGGGCAATATTTTTACGGATCACTAGGTTGTGTTTTATTCTAATGGAAATTAGATCAGAGAAACAATTTTTAGATTCACACTCTAAAAAAAATACCTCTAGATCAGTCTAAGAAACCTAAGGAATTAGGGAATGACATTGAAAAGCATTTATAATTGATAATACTTTTGAGTTCCAAGCGGCACATGGCACATTATCAAGTTCAAAGTATACTGTCTTCTTTTCTCAGCCATGACACTGTTCTCCCCAGATAACAAGGCTGACAGGAACAAGATCAGGAAGCCACATCTGTGAGTTGGGACCTCAACCTACATCTCCTGACTCTGAGGCCTCTTTTCTGTGTTGCAGTTTTATCACAAAAGCTGCCAAACATCTTATCTACATGGAGAAGTGTCCTCGCTTTTTAGGAAGCATCAAGATGTCGGTGTTTAATTCTTCAGGTTATTAGGAAATTGAACTCTTTGGAACTGTGCGGCAACCTTTTACAAAAAGGTGAAAACTGTCTGCTTTGATAGATGATGGTGGAAGGAGCCTTTGATTTAAGGAGTAATTTGTAAATATAAAACAATGGCTAGAAAATTCTATTAGAGATGAAATATCTCCTCTGTTACAATATTTGTTTCTCTTTAATGCAATTTGGTTCGACCAGAAAGGGATGGGAGGACGCATAGTCAATGCTATAGGAGGAGTTACTGGAAACTAGACAGGAAGAAAAAGACAGTTCATAGATGTGGTACAGGGGTGAACTGAGGCCTTCCGCCCAGCTCCTGGCTGTGCCCACGGGAAATTGAATTCACAACTCTTTCTGCATCATAAATCCAGGACAGCTGGCAACCATCCAAGGGAGACTGGCGTTATCTCCAAGGGCAACTGACGCCAGGCTGGTCAACCCTTCTAATGTGTGCTAAAGGCTGAGACCCAGGTGTGGCGGATTGAGACTCAGCTCCCCTAGCCTCAAGACGGTCATTACAAGCCTTACACTTTGTTAATTTTCAAATGCACCCATCACGAGGAAAGGAGAGGTTCCATTACATTAGAAAGGTGGAAGGCTGCAATTTTTCTGACAGTTCTTGGGGCCGGAGGGAGAAGTCCTGATTTGATTCGTTCATTTCTAGATCTTTTTCTAGAGCGCACGTGCCAACTGGACACCGTGTTTTGTAGAGTGGAGCGTTCTGGTATCCCAGACCTCACGTGCGTCCCCAGGTTGTTGGGAGGCAGAGACTAGCGAGGTCTGGAGGGGCGTGCGATGGGGGGGGGGGTCAGCGTCCAAGAGTCTGGGTCTCCGTTTCTCTAAATTAGGAGACAGCAGATATCACCGGCGCGACGGGTTCCCGCGGGCGGGGCAGTGAGGCCTCGCGCCCCGCCCACCGCGCCCAGGAGGGGGCGGGGCCAGCCCACGTGACGGCGCGCCGAGAGACCAGCCCCGCCCGCGGGAGGAGGCCCGGCCACGACCCGGGCCGCGAGCTGTGGAACATCCGGGTCGCCCGCGCGCTGCCTCAGACTGCGCCCCCCTGTCCCGGCCCCTCGCCCGCCGGCCCTGGCTGGAGGGCCGCGGGAGCGGCTTCAAGATGGACGAAGACGGCGGCGGCGAGGGCGGTGGCGGTGAGTGTGGGAAGTGTGGCCAGTCCACCGGCGGCCTGAAGCGGGGGTCGCCTGAGGAGACGGGGTCCCGGGCGGTGGCAGTGCTGACTGGTGACCACGCCAGGCCCGAGGCTCGTGGGGTCGGACCGAGGCGGGGACGCCCGTGTCCGGGCGAGGGGGTCACCGCCCAGAGCGAGTGAAACCGGGGCCGCTGTTGGCCGGTCGCTGAAGAGGCTCGGTGGAAGAGGTCGCCCTTCTGAGGCGGGGGACTTTAGGGGGCGACCTTGCCCATATTCTGTCACCGAGAGCGTCCACGCCCTCCTGAGCCCAGCCGTTTGAGCGACCCCTTTTTAGCTTCGGTTCTCAGGTGGCGGGAGCTGGCGCGCCGGTGGGAAATGGGGAGGGGAAAGTTTTGAATTGGGGCTCCGGCGTCCGGGTGGGCAGAGCAGAGGGGATGTTGATTGGAATTCACGACCTTTTTCCTGGCTTTAGGTCAAAAGTAGTCGATGGGAATTCTTTAAACGAGGAAGGAGGGGAAGCTGAAGGAGTCTATATCTGGGTACGCATTTTATGGACTAGCGAAGGTTTACAGAATAAGCAGCCCTCCTTCCCCGTTTGCACCTCCCTCAAAAACGCAGAAAAATCCGAATCACTGTTGTCGGGGGTGGGAGTCAAGGAGCCACCGCCAACAGCTAAGCTTCGAGCTGAGATCAAGTGTAGGGGACACCTTTCCGAAGTGGGTCATGCCATACCGGCGTGGCTCAGGATGTATGTGCCAGAGTCATGTTTATTGTAAATTATTTAGTGGAATACAATTGCTGTTGTGTCATGCGGTGAAAGAGGTTTTCAATGGGATAATATACTTCTGTATGGAATGGGTTATTGATTTGACAACTAAAGGGTTAACACCTCCCCTCCTTTGCAGGAACACCCCAAGTTACGGCTTCCTATACTTTCTCTAATGATCTCCTTTTTGCTGACAGACGGAATCGTCAGAACCCCGCGTAATAAGGGAGTGTTTAGAAAAATCTTAATTACAGGCTGCTGGAGCAGCTGCCTGTAAGAATCAGCAGTATTGAAGGCTTTAGGATGAAGTGGTTAATCAAGGTGCCTTCTAGAATTCAAGTGCTGCTTCGAGGGAAATGTTTTTGCTTAAATAAAGTGATGCCATGGGGCTGGTGGGAAGTTGGCAGGAGTCATGGCATTTGTTGAGTTCAGTTTTTATAGTTAAGGCTGGGGTAGTTCTTTGGCACCCAGTGGGCGTGTTGTTTGTGAAAAAGTGCTGTGACAAGGAGCCCAGTTGCAAACCCTCCTACAGCCAGGCTGTCGGTCTGGAGACACCGGATCCTAAGTAATGGATTTCCTCTGGATGCCTTGGATTTTGTCTGTTGCAATTTGGTATAGCAGTAGTCCCCTTGTTAGAAAACAAAAGCGAACAACTCTAGTATTTAACCATTTGACATTGGAGTCAAGGAAGCTAGCTGGCTTGGTGATTTTGTTTGGGAGGTGTTTCTGATTGCCTAAAGAAGTGTGGAGGGCTTGAAAATAAAAGGAAAACTGCTGGTGTGCTCTAGCAGTTTATAGATCTTGAGGGCCATAACAAAGGGTGAAAATATGTAGCAAAAGCCTTAAAATTATTATATCTCTCCTGGAAATGCATATATCATAAGGAAACCTTGAAATTTAAAAAAAGATGCATGGAGATGGGCATTACACAGTAATTGTAAAAAATTGGAAAGTGGCACCCATTCATAGGGAAATGGTAAAGTAAACTTTGTGAGTTTATAGACTAAAACATTTTCCAACATTAAAAATAAGCAGTTTTGGGGCCGGGGAGATGGCTCAGTAGGATAAGCGCTTGACTGGCAAATGCAAGGATCTGAGTTCAATCCCCGGTTCCGCCAAAAAAAAAAAAAAAAAAAAGCAGTTTTAGTGGAATGGGATGATACATGCCTATAATCCTAGCACTTAGAAGGCTGAGGCAGGAGGATTGCTACAAGTGTGAGTCCAGCCTGGGCTACAAAGTGAGTTCAAGGCCAGCATAAACTACGTAGTGAAATCCTGTTTCAAAAAAAGAGAATGCAGTTTTATACATTTCATTCTAAACAGTGTAAAAATTGGTGACATAATGGATATTTTACTTTTTTAGTGTTTATATTTTCCATATTTCTGAAATAAATGTCTATTACTTTAGATTTGAAAAAACCTCACCTTATAAAAGGCATGCAGGGGTTTTAGGTGTAATTTTTAGTTAACTTCTGGAACATTCAACAATGAACAGGTATTTATTTTTAATTTTATGTATTTGGTACAGGGTCACATTATGCAGTTGGAACTTGCAGTGATCCTCCCATTTCAGCCTCCCAGCACTGGGATTACAGGTTTGTGCCACCACTCCTGGACTTGGAGGTTGGCTTGGCATGCCCAAGACGAGGCCCTTGTGGCATGTAATACCAGGGTTCGAACCCAGGTCTTTGAGCTTATGTAGGCACGCTGAGCTATCTCTGTGGCCCTGAACAGGTATTTATTGTTTGCCTACTATATTGCCAGGCAACATGCTAAGTGCTGACAAAACAACTTTTAACTTTTATTGTTTTATCAAAATCTTCTTTGCATTGTGGAAGTTACTTAAAAATATGTTTAGTAATCTTGGAATGAGTACTCTTGAATCAAATGAAATTTTAACAGTTATGAATGAAAAGTCATTATGGTGATTATTGGGTAAACTTGTGCTCATAGTTAATTCTTATTGTTAGAGGTTTGAAATTAACATGATTATTTTTTTTTTTAAATTTTAGATAGGGTTGTGTTCTGTAGCCCAAACTCACTTTAATCCTACTGCTTCAGCCTCTAAAGTGCTGGGATTACAGGCAGATGTGCCACCATGCCTGGTTCAACATACCTCTTTAAAGATAATACCATTTAGATTTTTAAAGAATGCTGTGTTTTAAAATTTATGGTTTTTAAAAATAAAGTTCAGTCTTTTGAGAGAACAATTTAAGTTACCAACCAATTGAAGCATAACTTTTTTGATATACTTTTAGAATATAGAACAGAAATTCCATCTGTGTTTGAGTCAGTTTCCACTTATTTAGAAGGTGGGATATTCAGACAATAGCTGTGCCAGAAGCTGAAGGTACTTGAAGTAAAGGATATTTTTATTGGTCAGGTAAAAACTTTAAAAACTGATTTCTTCTTGCTATTTTTATAATTTAATTTTTTTGTTCAGGGTATAATTTTTTCTTTGGTGTGAGATAAGCAGAAAAGGGCTGTAAGGCAGTTACAAAGAGGAGCAAGTGGGGTTACAAGATTACAAGAACACATTGTTCTGTATAATGTGTGCAGAGTATAGTTAAGGTATTTTTAATTTGGTGCTTTGTTACCTTTACATTTTTCTAGACCAGTTCTTGGAATATGTCTCTACTTGGAAGGTGACTGGCTAGTTTGGCTCATTGCCACCATCTGTTTGATGTTCCTGAATGGACCATCTATGGCAGCTGAGGTGAATTGATTTTAATGGGCTACCTTCTCCTGTCCTCTTCACTCTCATCAGTGAAGATGAGGGTTAAGTCTGTGTTCAAGTGAAATAACGTTCAGCCTCATTCAGCAGAATGAATATATATTAAGACTAGATTGAGATCCCACCTTTCACCTCTCAGACAAGTGATAACTCCAAATTTGAAAACAGAACGTTGACAAAGCTTCCTCAGCATTTGCTGGTTAGAAGTGTGAATTAGTCACAGCTCTGGAGAAGGCTTAACATACCCTGTGTCCTGTTGGCTCAGATCCATTTCTTGCCTTTCCATTGCAGAGGGATTCACCTTTGGGGTAAATTTCTTAGACCCTTGATCAGTTTAACTACTTTAGGCTCTTAAGAGCCATTGGTGGGGGACTGGATGGCAGGAGGAAGGGAAGAACCAAATAGTTCCTCTTTCATTTTTGACACCACCAGTGTCTTTGTAGGTGCCTTTCGGACTCCAGCTTCTTCTTGATCTCAGCCTGGAGCTTTGGGAATACCACCTTCCTTCAACCCTTCAAGAAGAGATGGGAGTTACTTTTTGGTCATGGTAATATCCATGGGTTCTTAGCCATTTCCTGTTTGACCTTGCAGTTTTTCTATCACATTTGTAAGCAATTTCTTAAGTTCCTTCTGTTTCAGACTCTTAAAGTGATAGCTGTTTCTCTGAGTGGACTCTGATGTATATAGGAACATTGAGCAGTAGCTTTTAAAGTTCAAATGTATGTCTTCTGACCCAATAATACCAGTTCTAGGAGTTTAATCTGCAGATACATTTGTGAGTGTGTGAGATAAACAGACACAGCATTATTCTCTGCTTTAGTATGTATCAGCAGGAGACCTGTGAAATAAATCATAAACCAGATGGTGAATGAAGTTGTGAAGTTGTAGAAAGGAAGGAGGAAACTGTGAATTGATACAGAAAGAGCTCCAAAGTATTTTGTGAAGTTACAAAAGGGAAATGTAAGGACAGTGTTCATTGTATACTACCATTTTTGTTTTTTTGAAAAAAAA